TTCAGAAGAGAGCGAAAAGGCGAAAGAAAGAAAGCAATCGGCGTATCGAGAATATATGAGGCTGTAAGAAGGTAGTCAAATTACTGGTTTGGACGAAATTGTGGGGACAAAGGTCGCAGGGAAGGGGTAATTGGACTAGCCATCCGAACGTTTAAATTTAAGTTCTTCACATCGGCGAGATGCCTTGTAAAATAATATGATTGGTAGTACTGTTAGTACTATGATTAGGTAGTACTGAAGGCTATTCAACGAGATGGCAAGCGATGGGGCTGTCCCCATCATCGTCCTGAAAGACACGTCTGAGCAGATCGGCCAATATAATCACCTCGTCTGAATTCGTGATCGTGGCCTCGCTGCCCTTTTTTGAGCAAGGCTTGATTGGCTTGATTGCTTCAGTTTTAATGCTCAAATACCCCTGGGAACGTCGTATATTGTCGGCATGGATGTTTATCAAAAAGCTCTATATTCATCCTCAAAATTAAGCTCCTGTCTTTATTGAAGAGAAATTCGACATGTTTCCACACCTTTTGGAGTTGTGGAGAAAGGGGCAAACTTAATATAACAAATGTTCTCCCACAAAGCACAAAAATCCATGCAGTAATGAGCATATAAGAGAAGCTCACAATTCACGTCCACGTTAATCTCTGATCCGAGTAAATGGACCCATCGCCTTTGGGCCAAAAGATTTCAAAGCTCGTTGTCACTGCAAATCGAATAAATCGCCTACAGACGTATGTGGATTGGAATATTGTGCAGATGATCAAAATTCCATACCATCATGGTCACTCAATCCCACAGGAGCCACAATCTTTAGGTATCGTATCGGAGATGGAACACCAGAAATGGTGAATTTCAGAATATTGTCCCCTTGCGCTGACTCCCTAACGCTGGGTCAGACTATGGCACCGAGACAATTGCTTCAAACGAAATACACCGTGGAGAAACCTCAGTGGAAAAATCAATATGATGACAGAATTTTGTTAAATCAAAATCTTTTGCTATCTTACTAGGTTGGTCTCAAAATGTAAGTCACAAGAACCATCGCTAATAACTGTGGCTTCCTTTGGAGCATGATGGCGTTCTGTATGCCACAATTATTTGAAAATTACAACCTCTGCAATATATAGGCACCCCTGATGCCTCCCAGGAATCCGTAACTGGCTCGGCAACCGACGGGACGAAAATTCCACTTTGCTTCTGAATAATTACTCCACCTCCAGACAGACCTATTGGAAGGATTACACCATAACACATTCCGCCTAGCTACATTTCCAAGAAAAAACAGTATGTTTCAGGTTCATTAAGTCTTGACGATCTCACATTCGAATAAAGGCAACGCAGCTGGGACCCGACCCAAGGAGTCACATCTAGTTTCCGTTAACACTAATGAAGGGATTGCTCATACACTCGCGGTGCGGAAAGAGAGACAACGATTATACATCACTATCCACTATAGCCTTTTCCCTAGATGTGTTCCACTCATCCTTCCTTTGTTCCGGAGTGAGGCACTTTCTAACATAGGTACAGAAATGTAGCAAAGATGGTGAGCTCAATGACATGAGCAGGCAAGATTACTTTAACCGATCTATTCTTGTTTGTGAGAGATCTACTTGAACGATACACCGCTTATGCGTTAAATTCAACACTAAAAAACCTCAAACCTTTATAATTACTAGAAGACGCATTAGTCAAACGCTATCTGCAGTTATGACCAACACAAGGTCCAGCCGTCTCGCTGAGGGAGTTAGGAAGGGTATACCAACGATTATGGAGTGGAGCTACCTCTGGTATCAAGAGATCAATTCTATACGGACCGCTGACAACAATGGACTGTTGCTTCCCAGTTTCCTAATTTCTGAGCAGTTAATGCACTCTAGGCAGTTAGTGCACTCAATCTTGTCAGCGAAGCGGCTGGATCTCACGATGTTCATAACTTGGTCTTGCTGTTCTTTGAGGAGTAATGCATTTGTTGCTTCTACAGCTCATGGCTTTGCCAATTTCCTTCCTTAGTCGCAGCCTTTCTCGACTCAATTATGAAATAAAGGTCGATTAGGCAGCAAAAAGTCGCAGCCTTTCTCGACTCAATTATGAAATAAAGGTCGATTAGGCAGCAAAATTCGATCGATTGATCGAAACGAATTGATTGGGCTTCTGTCTTTGCAGTGCCAAATAAGGACTGATGACTTTACCTCGAACGGTGGTATTTGAAGAAGATAATCACGTGCCACAGTGAACAGAACAGAACATTCATTTAGTTATTTATTTATCCATTAGAACACGTACCTTGAATCCATGAAAGTAACAATAAGGATAAACGATAAAGTTTTCAGCGTCAATCAATCCCGTCTAAGGGATGCGCCCCGCGCTCGACTTCCATTCGGAATCGTAGTGGCGCAATGAGTGCGTACTTGGCCTATACAATGACTTGCGGTGGCCAGCCGATGTACAAGTCAGTGCTTTTATCCTTTCTGGTACCTATTAACCGACTCCGGAGAGATGGAAGGCCTGGTTAGCCTAGGCAGGTACCGATCAGGTATTCGAATCCCTTCCCGTACGTGTGAGTTTGTGCGCCACTTGCTACTACACCATCTCCGCCCAAAGTAACATTGTGTAAAAAAAGCCTGAAAAAAAAAACAGTAGCCAGCACAACAACAATTAGGAAAGATTAAGATAAAACAGAGCCGAGAGCAAGATGGAAATAAGGGAATTAAGATGAGAACCGACCACCCAAGCTCTTTTATGCGGTTTCAGCTGAGGAAATTGAGTTTCCCCAATAAGCCTAGGTAGGGTAAGAGTACCTGGGTGGCTGGGATGATTACCTCCTGCAAAAAAGGAACAAAAAGAAAGAAAATTTGCTCACCGCGATGCTCCTTCCCTTTGAGAGCCTTTATTCAAAAACTGGCATATAACACGGCATAGCATCTTTTATTGAGTTCATTTCTTGAAATACTAGCCTATGAATGGGTACCCTACCACCCACTACATTTTCACTGTTTAGTGAAACCCAGAGAAGTCCTTGCAAAGAGGAAATTTACTCAAACCCCTGTGTTGAATTCATTAAGGAGTTCAAACCTAACTTCTGTGGTCTGTGGTGTGGGACAGAAGAGAGATGTGTCGTGACGAGGTGCCTTCTGTTGTGGGCATCGATGTTGCCGCACCCCGGTCACGGCAGGACGTGGGTATTTGGGTGCCCACAGACCCCTAAGGGGTGCGTCGTGCCGAGGAATGCTGGACAGTCCTGCTGTGGGTTGGAAAAAGCCTAGCCCCCTGCCACCGAACCAAACGCCCAACTACAAAGTGTCCAAAGTACTCTTGGGGTTAATCCCGCTTGACCACACAAAAATAATAAAACGCTATCTTTATGTCATACGGATAAAACATGACGAGACTTCAACTGATGAGCAAATGGTAATGAAACATTATGATGCAATAAAATCACACCGAATATATGCACGAGTAAAACAAATTACAGCATGACTAACCTGGATTTAAGACGAGACGTGAAGAGGAGATGAGACTGGATAAGATGCGATGATCGACGGTTGTAGGAAGGGCCCACGGGACGAAAGGAGGAGAGCACGCGACATCCATCAGCCAGGCACGACGAATACATACAGACGACTAATTTGAGCTGATACGTAGCGAGATGATATGCTTATAACTAGTTTTCCCGCGCTTCTGGCAATTTCTGCCTTTCGTGGTAGGACCGAGTGCGAGTGAATCTGGGGCGCGGTTTCCTCCTGACGCATGCTGTAAACCCGAGTGGAGGTCGTACGAGAGACACGACAGAATGGCCGAGTTCTTAATATTCATGAGCAACTTTTGTAAACTGTTATCAGATCAAATTTCTTTCTTCTGCAGATAGGGGATTCAAGACCTTGCATCCTAAGAAGGTCTAAGCAAAACAGGTAATCCCTCACTAGGCTTGAATTTTGATGAGATATACTTGAATATAGCGAATTTATTCTTGCTACCAATGAATACTTTTCAACCAGACTCCTATACTTAAACATTTTATTTTCAANTCTATTGCTATGATCTTATAAAAATCCCAATACGTGGAACAACCAGACAAGACAGCTTTTTCATAGAAAATTGAGTTTTCTCGGAGTTCGGAGTTTTACGCAACATGTCCTACGGTAACAAACAAGTTCATGACTTGCTGTAAAACAAGAAGGAACATTTCATAGACGTCGTTCACGCTGAGATTCGAGAAGGATCCATACCAGTCCAAAATTGAGCAAACTCCATATTTTCCTGTAATCAGCTAGCTTGAAGTTGCTTTTAACGACACGCGACCGGAAATCACGATATTGGGGTAATCGCTAGAGTTGTAAATAGTGTTCAGCTTCATAAAGCAGTTTTCAGGTGTAAGTGTACTGTAATGGGTGAAATCTGTGCTCAAAAAGCAAGTGTTTGTTTAAATTTTGTTCGAAGCCTAATTTCCTATGTATGATCTCAAACTTTTCTGAGTTAGATCGCCCTTCAACGACTCAGAACCATCAGATTGACACCTTGACACCCTGCTCTTTTCTCACAAACTTTTAATTTTTCACAGTTTTCTATCAGTTTTCAGCTCTTCTACCTCATTCCACTCCGATTTCAGCAGTAGTAGAAGCGACAAGGAAGGATTTCACTTACATTTTTTCAAAACTCACAGTAAGAGAATCACCAAGGGAACCAAGTACCTAGTGCCTCATCGCACGTTATGCCGAGAAACAGATGAAACAGGTCTCGGATGTTAAGAATTTATCTATGTTTTTTGCGGGTGAATATTTTTCAAATATGAGATCTTAAAACGAATATTTCGTCAACAAGTAGCTCTTCTAACTGCAACACTGGACGGTTACAGTGTGAAGAAAAGCAAGTGCTTAAAACAATAGAAATTGCAAGACCTTCAACTACTGTTTATGTACAGTCGCATCAACTTCGAACAACAATAATCATTTCCAACAGATAACAACATAGAAACCAACAAATAGATAACAAAATGTCAGCAACTACTCTTCCATCTCCTCTTCCTTCTTCGCCTTCTTTTTCTTCCTCTTTGGTTTCTCCACTACCTCCTCTTCTTCCGCTGTAGGTTCCGCTGGCCGCTTCTTCGCTTTCTAAAAAAGTCACATTAGCTCGAATTGTAATTCGAAAACATTATTTACAACCTCCACAGTTTCCGATCCTTCACCCTGCGCTTGTTCCAGGATTTTCTTGGCCTTTTTAGCAGCCTTCTTTCTCTTCTTTAGCACCTATGAAAAAAGAAAAAATTGTCCTCTTCCTCTTCTAATAAACAATAACAGCAGTTGAGCAGTACCTTTTCTTGAACAACCTTCGCCTCCTCTTGAGCTTTCACCATGACATCCAAATTCTTCTGAGGAACCTCACCCGTTTCGAAGTACTTCAAACGTTCCTCGACCTGCCCCTTCAGAAACTCTCCAAAGGTTGGCACGGGGACCTAAAGCAAAGCAAAAGGCTTCAAATATTAACATCTATGGAATACCTGGTAGCAGAAACGGATCAGAGAAACACTTTCTAATAACGAAGTGATTCACCATTCCTTTTGAAATGAACCAAGATTCGAAACAAAAGGAAGACGCCATTAAGCTAACTACCTCTGAGAAGCAATCAATTCTTGAAGCTATAGTGCATTTGTTGGCGAGGAAGCGAGAAATCCTGCCCTTATTCTTTGCTGATGCTCGTCCAATAAAAGACGAATGGAACAGGAGACCATACTTAGGCGTTGCTGCTGAAATAGAAAAGTCATTGCAAAGAATTCCATCAGAATGAATGAGATCCCTATCTTGTTAGAGATCTTAAGTTAGCCCAAAATTTGCCGCTTACATCGAGTCTTCAAAGCGCGGAATAACGCTTTCTCTGCGCCAAGTATTTGAACAGTGGACGCCGGATACTTTGCCAGGTTCGTCAAGGATCCTGCATGGGATATGAGACGAGCCCCAACCTGAACGTTAATACAGTGGGTGATAACGAAAATGTGTCATGACAAGAGAATAACTGGACAAAAAGCCAATAAACATATGTTAAAAGATCGTAGTAATAAAATTACCAACCTGCTCTCCAATTAAAGCACTCAATGATGGGGCACAACTATTCATACGATCCTTGATGTACTCGTGGAGACGTTGACGATATTCTGTCAGGGAGGCAACACGAGAAGCAAACCTGCGACAAGCAATAACCACTACTTTCAAGAAGATTAATTTTTTGCAACTTTCCTTTCTCACAATCTGAAGAACCACTGCGTTCTAATTAAGCCATTGCGGAAAGGAAACTGTGGGAATAGGTATATGCGACTAATCTACACATAAGCATAGAATAGTGTCTGATATTCTCTATAATTTCCCTTGCCTTAGACCAGATGAGTAATCAGTTCGACTCTCATCCCGGCTTAATATGCAAGGGTACAAAACTTTCGTACTCTCTCGACTCAGCTTGAAGAGCGATCCCTTAAAAAGATACCTTTCAATGTTAACGAGGTCCAGATCCGATATATCCATACCCATTGATGTTCTGGCGGCTTCTACCACTTCATTTGCTTTCTCTTCATCACCATCCAGGATTTCTGCAACCAAATGAATGATTTGATGGATATTCTCAGCAAATATAATGGATTCATTCGTGATGAAGCCTATGTAGGAAAAGAAATGCGACTGTTTTACACACCAGTGTAAAACAGTGTCTGACTTTCCAAATGCTTTCCCTTGACTCGAACCAGATGAGTAGTCAGTACGACTCACATCCCGGCTTAATGAGCAAGGGAAACAAACTTCACAACGTCAGAACAAAAGACAAATTACTGATGGATACCAAATAACAAATAACCCACATGTACAAATACCACAACTCACCAGTAATCTCAGCTAGTAAATTCTCATTCTCGTGCATCTTGTTCCGATCCAATATAGTGACAGCCAGTCTCGCGTATTTGTACTGATCCGGAACAAGTTTGAAAAGCTCTGGGTAGTGGTATGAATACCTTAAACATACCAAAACATGGACGTAGAAAAAAGTTATAGCGTAGTAGCACAGCTGTAACCAGAGGAGCTGAATTCTTTCGACCCTACCATTTCCTCTCACCGAATGGCTAATAAATGATACGACAATTTTCCCTTCCACTTACAGGTATGTGTACTCCAGTGTATCATGGCTGATGCAAGCGGAGTAAATACTCAACACTTTTCAGCTTTCCTCACTAACAACTCTTAACCTTGGTGATGGTATCTTAGTGAATCAAATAAGGGAAACTTATTCCCTCATCTCTACTCCTCGCTTCTTTAATATAAACTTCACATACTAGATAAAAGAGATGCGAATTCAACTGTAAGTCAGCGAATAGATGGCCGGAGAGATTAAAAACTCCACCACCCTATAAAATCGGTACTAACCATTCTCTGATGCGCATTCCAAACAGATTGATGTCTTTGTCGAGTTGATCGAGTAGAGCAATCGATTGAATAACCATGTTATCCACACGATGGACATCGAATTTCACCTCAAGTATTGACCTTTCGTCTCACAGAAAGCTAACAAAAAGCTCGTCCCCATTACCATCGGTATCCTAATTTAACATTTGAAGCATTGAAGCTGCAGCAAGTGAAACTGGCGCGACCCCCAAAAATTATTCTAAATGTAGCTGTTCTTTTAGAGCCGTGCTTGAGTGCACATTTAAGATTAAGCTGATCGATCCCAACAAAGTCCATAAGGGTTCCTACAACTGCGAATGCAAAAAGTACCTTTCCGCGTGAATAGCTATGACCAAGGGATAATTGAGCCTTGGCGAGCGAATGATGAGGCAGGTCTTTGGCGAGATGAGCGAAGTGAACACGAACTCCACGCAGAATCTAAATGCTTCAAACGCATGAGGTTGCTTTCGTCATCGGTGGGTGATTTCTTTATGAAATCGCTTCACACCTCGGTAACAACACCTCCGAATACGAGCTTTATGCCGACGTTCGCTTCAGTTAGCGAACCGGCAAGCTTCGAATCATTAACACCCAAAATCAGCTTCTTCTTCTTTTGAGGAAGACTGCTCTCAAGAAAATTGATGAGATCCGCATGAGCCAAACCTAAGTTGGTAAAATTGTGAGTAGCAAAAAAAAGGAAATAAGTGAAAATCATGATATATATCTATGCAACTCGTAAACAAACGAAATAGAAGAGAAGTTTTTCAACCAGGAGATAATATTAGCAGCGCAATTTCGCTAGCTTACCTTCCGAGATAGCATTAGCATTTTCCAGAGCAGCTTCGGTGTTTTTAAATGGATCAAAAGCTGCTAGTTTCACGATACCACTGAATTTCGAAACATCAGCAATAGAAGCGTCAACCTAAAAATGAAAAGATGAGACTCGTCAATTCAAAGATGAGAAAGGAAAACAATCCCTGAGACGGAAAGGTTGGTTGAAACCGCCCTGCAAGCTTTTAAATGAATTTTCTATTGAAGACTCAACATATGAGAAGAAGCTTCAGCAACAGCAGCTCTTCCACATTTTCGAAACTTTTTTGAGCTCTCCAGGAAGTTTCTAAGTCAATTAATTCAGCGTTTCTTTGAGAAAAGAGCACAAATATTATGAATGCTGAAACTTTTGGGCTCAAGAATGATGCTCCCACTGATCACAAGTCTTTTCAAAAGCTGTCCAATACTATTGTAGGCGAAGATTAGAATCCTCAAGGAGAACTTTATTTACCTCTTGAACGATCAGTCCTGCATCTTCAAACTCTTTGATTTTCATCAACGCATATCCAACAGCGTGCTCGTAGAGCACATAGTGTGGAACTTCAGACATTGAGCTATGTGCGTCCCAAGAACCCGATCTAGAAAACCAAAACTATAAAAACGAATTAAGTATTCAATTTTAAACTACTCAAAACCGAGAGAACTACTCCGTCCGCACAAGTACTTAGATAAAACTAGATTTGTAATTTGATTTGAGCTTCTGCACAGAAAAAAGGCAATAAACCTCGACTGAACAGGTACATACAAGCGTACGAGATTATTTCGAAATAAAAAGAATGGAAAAAAACATCCACTCATCACTACAGCTACAACACTATGTGGAAGAGTACCTAAAAATAAGTCGACCAAATTGGCGCGCCCCAGTTTCTCCCTAATGTTGGTGTCGTTGCGGGACTCCTACGCAGACTGCACCTTCCTTCCTTTACTCACTGCTCGTTCGACTTTTGCCCACTTCCCAAATTCAGTACATTTAAATGAACGGTACTGTTCAGTATAGCAAATCTAGGCAGTTCTTGCAATCAGATAGGGAAAAATAACCGGATAACGCACACACAGAAAGGGAGGTGGGAAGCCAGTCACTCCCGATTCTGTGCTTTGCAACTCAACCACCTCAGCCTGTCCACCGGCCTCGTTCGAAACGTGCACGAACGTCTGTGAAGACACTGACACTTGTGGTGAGATACAGATCATTCCAAAGTACTAGTTCCTTGATAAAAGATAGTCTTTGATAATTGTCGTTTCGAAATGCGGCCCGCATTCAACTTCCATTCAGAATTGTAGTGGAGGTTTGAATGCGTGTGAAGCCTATTTTATGAATTACGATATCCAGTCGAGTGCTTTTGCCATTTCTGGCAAGTCTGATGCCTCGAAAAGACAGTACACGGTAATTTTGGGGTACCCAATTTATTGCGCTGTCCGGAAAGTCTCCGCCGTTTTTTAAGTCATCTTCGAGTAAAAATTTTCGAAAGAACGTCTTCCATTCTGGTCAGTAATGGCCCACTATCTTCCTGTAAATTTTATTATCCCACTTTCATAGGAGGTTCTAGAAACACAATGGAAAAACCCTCTCAGGCGCTCTTTGCGGTCCTCGAGAAGATTAAACGTTTTTCCACTCAAAGAATATGCAGAAATTTACACAAGTAGTAGTCTGATGGTGCTATGGCTGCGCTAGGGTGTAGCAAGGCAGGACTCAGCGATTTTTTCGCGCAAACCCTGCCGCCGGTGAAGTATGCGCGAAATAAATCGCGGAGTCTGTTCTGCCTCCTAACGTAAGTGTTCCCATAATGCCATCTGTACACCTAGTTCGAACGTCCTAATGCAAAATTGACAATTTTCACACAAAACTCTCCCTTGTGGGCGGAGCCCGGTCCTGCCGCTCACCATAAGTGTTCCTGTCCTATCCTCAGCATTCCTACAAAAATTTGAATACCTAGGTACAAGGGAACAGGAACTATAAATTTCCGCAAAAACTCATTGTAGGCGAAGTTTGGCCACCGCAAGTCATTGTATAGGCCAAGTACGCACTCATTACGCCACTACGATTCTGAATGGAAGTCGAGTGCGG